AAGGCCATTCCAACCTAAGTCAGTCTATGATTCTATGATTCTATTTCTTCCTAAAGGTAAACTTATACAAAATTTTGTTCAAACATTCTGCAAATTAATTCTCTTTTCTATGTATATAATAACATTTCTGCTTCAAATGCATTTTTGTAATGATAAGCATGAAAGAAAACACCCTAAGATTACCAAAGAGATGTGATCCTTCCCTTGCTATTAAAAAACAAAACAAAAAAAACTTTCCTTAATTCTAGTCATAAAATAAAGTTCTGCAGGGTTACAAATCTGCACTGATGTTATCTGTGTTTAGAATTTGGGTGACTACTACTTTTGGCAAGTGAAGAACAAAGTGTGAGCTTAACAAAAAACATAAAAATCTGAGGGCTAACAAGCTATCTTGAGCAGACAAAGTTCAATTCTGATTAAAAAAACAAAACTGCAAGGCACGCGAGAGGAACATCAACAAACAAATCAAAGACAGTGGAACTGTTCAAAAAGCTGTTAAAATAAGCAAAAATCAATTCTCATTGATTTTTAGATTTATCTAATTTTACTTAATGTAGAAAATCTTACCTAAATACATAGCACTAAAGAAATCTAAGCCCAGGTCAGATTGACCTGTGTTCTCCAGTTAATACAAAACAGACCTCACCTGGGTTCTGTTAGAGTCAGTAACGATGCCATCACCACTGATTTTTGCCAGAGTCCTATTGGGCTGCCATTTCAATGCCCACAAAGCAGCTTCGGGGGTACCTTATTAGGTACTGTGTACCAATGCTGCAGACATCTGACAAATTATTTGGTACAGTAGTTCTGTAGTTCTAATTTCAAAAATTAGAAATGCAAGTAGAGAAAACCACATAGCTTTTATGACAACTGAGATGTCTCTGAATGTATCCCCAACTCCAGTCACCCATTGCATGATAGCAGGGATTACCCATGGTACCCACAGTATTGATTTGGTGTAAGCTCTCACGTTGTTCTTACTCTTTTAAAGTCAGTAGCATTGCTATTGTCTTCTTTTGCAGATGATAGCAAAAATAGAGATCGTTTGGTTTTCTGTTTTGCTGGAGCTTTCTGAAACAGCCTTTGTATTTTGGAGCTAAATATCTCCCAGTTGGCCTCTTCCTGGAAAGGCCACTTCTTTCCTGTTTCAGAATATGTCCACTGAGAAACTTCTGGAACATTATGAGTTTGGCTGGTCCAACTAGCCTGATATCAAGTGCTGGATGCTATGCATGGATTTTAAGAATATTGCCAGGACAGTGGGTGATCCGATCCACCATCAAAGCCTCATAAAGTTAGGAAGGCCTTGAAGGAAACACTGGCTCTAAATAAATCACCATTACAATGAAATTAATAGTTCTTATTTGAGAAGAAGGATCCAGCACCTGTTCTTCCATCATTGCTTCAAAAACTCCAGAACACTGGGAGGGAAAGGAGTGACACAGAGTAGCACCAAACACGAGCAACTTGTAAGGCACTGGCGGGGCAGGATGAAGTCTGCAAAGGTGAGCAAAGCAGGAAGGAGCACAGATTGCCTAAATTTTCTTCCTCTCAACAGGGAGGCAAGTAATGAACGAGTAAAACAGATTAAGATGAAAAAGTAGAGTCTTTAATTGAAATAGATACAGCTTTTGCAGATGATTTCAAAACACAGCATCAAATCCTGTTTTGGCCAAACAGCTACACATTTTCTAGCACCATACTGGCAGAATAGTTTATGAAATCCATAGGCTTCTGGATTTCCTCAAATTACAATCCCAAATGGCATTAATGTGAACGGCAGCTTGCTGAAGTAATACTTTACAAGTCAATAACAGTTTTGGGCTGCAGGACAATGATTTAGGGGCACATTCAATATACAAAAATGAAAAATGCCTTTGCCCTTAAACTAATTTGCCAAATAAAACACAAACAATATTGTCACAGAAATGATTTCAAAGTTCAGTTTCAAAAGGCCTTAATTCCAAAACTAAGCAGCTGCATTTAATGCCAACACCAACTGCCTCTTTGTAGGTATTAGATCATTGCTGTTTTTAATGGTGCAAAATTGCAGGCTGGCCTAAAGATTTTCTAACAGATTGAGAGAGATGTTCTTTGCCAATTACCAATCAATCTCCAATTACTAATCAAAACTCTGTGAACAAATGTTAATACTGAGGCATACAGTAAAATCCACAGAATTTCAAATTGGGGTTTTCAAGCCCAGAGAGAAGTCTTCTTGTAAAAAATTTACTGTTCTGTCACAGAACAGGAATAATGATCCTGGAAATAGGTCATGGCTATGCTGTTGTCCACATAACTGAATTATTACTGAGCTACTACCCTCACTTTAAATGCTACTATATTCCAGTAATCTAATAGTGTGACTTGGAGACATTTGGAAAGCAAACGGGACACGTGAATCATCAGGTATGTTAGACAGGAGTCAAGGCTGTGAACAACAGAAAAGCAGGCTTGACAAATTAGAAGGCTGATTCAGTTTATTTTCCATCACTTCACTTTGTTCAGCCAAGCACAGGGAATGTTCTGAGTTATGGTTTTTATACAGAACACAACTATAAGTAGATGGCTTACGGAAGAAGTAACGACACTGATTATAAAGCAGACATTATATGATGTCTTCTTGAAACGTGAGGTACTGGGAATATGGAATGAAAATGAAATGTCTGTTTGGTCCTCAACATAAGCCATCTCAGGGGATTCAATTTCTAGTGCTCAAGACACAATCAGCAGCGGACAAGAACTGGATAGATAATGTGCTTTGTTTATCCCCTCTCTCTACTTACTGCGCCCCCCCCCCCCCCAACACACACACAAACACACCCCTTAAAATAAAATGTAAATTCAAGAGAAATGCAATTCTTGAAGTTCAGGCTGTTCTTTGCTGCCTAGCCCTTCTCCACATCACCTTCACAACTACAGTATCTGGCCATAGTAATCAAGAAACCTGAGACTACCAAGACATCTGAGGAAGGCACTAAAATCCCCATTGCCACATTATCTGATCAAAAATTTAGCTTGAGCCTTCCTGATGTAATACTGTCTGCGGAGGTTGGCTCTAATATTTCCTTCATTTTACTGATTTTTATGGCTAGGTAACACTTTTGCCCTGCGGTTTTTGGAAGCAGACAAGCAGCAGAGCTGGTGTTTGTATGCAGATCGATAGCACCAGGCTCCATGATACCCATTTTATTTTTTATGATATTGAAGCAAACTACTTGACCGCTTCTCATTAAGAACAGCAAAACTACCCAAAAGGAAAACTGGGTTTAAAACACCTTTACATTGGTGGATATGGGGCTACTTAGTTCCTTTTGCAAAACAGCACCTTGAATGGCTAAGAGGTCTTACTAACTCACAGCAGAATTGTTGCACGGATGACACAGCACTGGCATTCTTACTGTTACACTGCAGTGCCCAGTGAATGTATATTGACAAAAATACATGTTTGCAAATATTTAGCATGTATACATCGCTTTTCCATTGCAATTGCAGTGCATGTTTTCTTAGCCACCACAGCTTTTTGCCTTACATTTAATTTAAACTTGCTGACAAAGGAGCCTGTCACAGCCCTTTCTCTGCATCATTTTAATCTGTAAAACACAGCCCATTGTGTTGATCAGCATTAGAGCTTTACTGTGAGCATAAATGAATATGAACTTGTAGAGTTCTTCAGAAATGTTGACACACTGAAGAATTTAAGAACAACTTACTTCTGAACAGTTCAATATCACCAAAATATTTGTGTTTTCTGCACAGTTACGTTAAGCAGAGGGCACCAACATGAAGAATTATTCTTCTTTCTGCAGAAGCGCTCAGGGCCTTGCCCACCTTGAGGAACAAACTGTTGTAGCAGAAAAGCTGAAGAAAGCTAGTTGTGAGTAGCTGCACCAAGAGGTGCCAGGTAGGTCACAGCTTGATGAAGGACGATTTTTGTAAAGCTTTTTCTTAGGAGTAAAAAAAAGACATCATTAATTATCAGTGCACACTCTGAACATTTACATTTTGCACAACTTTCACCCCCCTGAACATCTTGCAATCACATTTAGAGGAATTAATTTCAGATGCACAGTGATTCAATAGAATGCACTTCCTTACTCACAGTTCTCTTTGATACACGCAACTGCATAGGTAGGCTCAGAAAGATCATCAGATGTTTGTTTTTAGCCACAAGATACAAAAAGACAAGGACTAGACTGCAAGTTACTTCAGAGTGAAACAGAGATCTGGAAGGGACAGGTTTTTCTTACGCTGCTGCGTCGCACTTCAACTGCCATTTTCTCAGCTCAGGGTACATATAGTTTTCTGCACAAAATTTCTTCAGTCATAATGCCTGCTCAATGACAGAGGCCACAAAATGACCTTTTGAGAGACTTTTTTTATAATCTCCATTCAAATTCACAAGAAAGGCAACCAGGGCCTTCTATCCCAAGAGCTGGAAATCCATACTCTGCAACAATTTTTAGCTTAAGTAATTTTAGCAGATAATACAGCAGTAAGACCATATAATTAGCAGCACAAATATTCCAAATTGTGCGTTTTATCTACCCAGCATACTCAGCCTGCAAGCATTATTCTTTGCTGAGTGTTCTGGAGGCTCCCAAGGGCAAGCAAAGCAAGTCCCACCACTTAAGGAAACAACCCTAACTAAATGTATACACATATTCTTTTCAACTGGCTTTCCTTAAAAGAAAAAATATTATTATCAAGTAAAGAGCAAATGCATTTGATGTTTCCCTTTCGGGTAAATGAAGATATTTTCAGTTTTTTCCCTGTCTTTTTAACATGAAATATCTAGCCCTTACTTCTTCATTTTCATGAAAAACTTAAAAGATCTTTGAACAACAACAAGAATATCACTTCTGCCCTCAGTTTTATCATCCGATTACTATAGAAAATGGTCCTTTTGTCATTACACTATTACATTCTTCTACAACCACAACTAACATGGAAAATTGCTGCTTCATTGTCTAGGAAAACATTCTAATGCCTTCTCTCACCTGAAAATATAGGTACCTCCTTCTCAGTACTTCCAAGTAAACTTAGAGGAGTTGTTCTGAAGTCACAGATGCTTGTGGGACAAGTCCTTCTCTGTAATCTTCTGGCAGATGGGTTTAACTGAACCTCTAAACTACAGAGCCCTCTAATTTTGGGCTTGATCATGCCAGACATTGAACACTGCAGAAAATGGACAAATAAGGGGATGCATATGTACATGAATAACTCAGCTGATATTTACATGCCCTTCTTACACGCGATCAAATTTTAATAAACTTTACACTTGTTGTAGGGAAAGGCTGCTAGTCCAGACCAGTGGCTATGCAAAATTAACTATTAATGGATAACATTTCCACCTTTACACAGAAGTCCACTGGAACACAGAAAGAAAATTGTATTCAGGCACACAACTTACAGTTAGATTAATTACTATTTTAAATTCAAAAGTACTTCACCTCATTTTAGGCAAGAATTTAATAGGAATTTAATTATGGCTAATAATGTGAGTTTCAGGTTATCTGAAAGTAACAACTTCAACTGACAATGTAATGGAAGGAAAGTAGGATATTACAATTAATGATGTCTCTTCTAATACCCTATTGCCTATGAGCAAGGAAAAAAAAAGGCAAACAGATCATCATTAATCTCAAATGAATCAAGTTTGGATGGAAAGATGGACTGTCTAATCTACAGTAGAAAGTACTGCTGTTGTTTTCTCTCTAACGGCTCTGCTCTACGTATTATGAGCTATTAGCTGCTTTCTCACAGCATCATAAACATTTGGATGGCATTGTGAAGAAGCATTTTGACTAATTGCTCAAATCAGGAAAATAAATATTTTTCATTTCTAAGCTATTAGATTTAGCTGAAAGGGGTTGAATGGAGGTGACTGATACCATAGCCTGCTGTCTGCTCCCCGTGTCAGTTTGTTTTTTGTTTTACTGGGCTTGACAAAAATGAACATACATCCTTCAGTAGCCACTTCTCAACTGCTCTGCTCTCTGTTGCTTGGCTCTGAAACCCCATAGCAGCCCTAGGGATACTTATGAACTTCCCAGATATAAATAAAATATCCAAAATAAAAGACTATCTGAACAGGCTATAAGCAAACTAAAGAAACTTAGCAGTCAGAAGGAGAGAAGAAAAGCACTTAATTGGGCTCTGAGTGGTAACACCACTGACATTCGCCAGCGGCAAGGCCAGGCAGTGATTTCCCAGGGTTCCTACACAGACATGCACATGAATGCACTCAGCTTGGACACCACAGTACTTGTGAGCCCTGGGCTCGGTGCTGAGTCCAGCCTCCCAGCCTGCCTGCACTCAGGCATCTTCGTTGTTCCCACTCGTACTGATGTACCAGAAGATCACACAAAGGATGAGCAGGATGGTGAAAAGGAAGAATGTAGGGAAAACAGCTTTGACCCCACAGGTTGGACGTCCCCAGGTGAGCGTGGAAGCTGGAGCGCAGCAGGGAGGCACTGGTGCACACATAGATTTGTCTGTGATGTCTGCATGCTTGCATCCCAGGGAGCACTCCAGCAGCACCATGAAACAGCCCTGTGTGCATCATCTTTTCTGAGCCCACCTCTTTACAGCCCATCTTCATCACTTGCAGCAAGAACAGCTATTTCACAGACAGAGAAACAACACACAGAATGTGTCAGATCTGACAGCATCTGCTTAGCAGACAAAACTTAACCTTTCTTCTGGGGGGAAAGTCCACAATCTTACAGTGATCTAAATGTGTTACATATTTCTTCAGGAAAAAGAATAAATAAAAGCAAATAAAGTGGACATTTTCTCAGCTGTGGCCCTGCAGGTTGGGTCCAACAGCCAAGGGCTGTTTTACCCAGTTATCTCCGCCCCTTCCCTCTATTTATGTATTTACTTATTTGTTTAGCTTTTGTCTCTCTATCTTCTGGAACTTGGGATTTATTTTCTAGTTCTACAATTGTATGATTCTTTGTCACTTACAGGAACGATTTTGCTGGGCAGTCAGCCAACATTGCAACTGCAGAAGAAATCTTTCTTGATTTACTCCTATGGACCTTAATGAATATTATTTGAATACACATGCTGCTTTACTAAGCTTCTATATTATTCTAAGTTAATTTCTTGTTAATATTATTTTGACTTTATTTTATAATCGCATCTGTCTGAGGATAATGACCACAGGTACTGCCTTGTCTGGTAGTTTCTTTGTATGTTGTGAAAGATTTATTTTGTCTTGAATAAATAGATTATGCATGTGTTCTCTTTTTCAAACTAGTAAAGCTCAACATTTGAAAGAGCAGAATGAAAAACAAAGTTCTAATTTTAATTTCTTTAAGCTTTGTAACTTGTTTTTTTTCAGGAGTTTGTGTAGTACACTACCACAGGTCCTATTACATGGCACTGTTTATCTCATCAGTATCTGAAGACTGCCTAGCCTTCATCCTTTCCTTTCCCTCTCCTTTCTTCCAATAGGTTTTCACACATCTCTCTCAACCTGATTGCTTGCCAGTCTCCTCACACACCCTCCCTGCTACTATTACTTGTGTCAACTTGTCTTTGCTTTCTCATACGCCCTGACATAGGCTTGCCTTCTTGGAACTGAAAATATTATGCAGAAAGCTCCTGGTGTGGAAATATGTTAGGTATTTGTGCTGTTGCCAACAGGGTTAAAATTGCACCTACACTTTGCCATGAAATAATCACATTTTTTATTTGAACCACATTAACTGATGAATGGTGTCAGAGGCTACAACCAGCTATGGCTTTTAAGAAGTCATCACACTGCATATAAGTTCCTTAGCTGATATAAATTAGCAGCCTTGTTAGCATTGGGTGAAGATTAATTAGATAATTTCCTTTTCCTGTTCTTTTTAATTTTTTTTTTTAAATCTTTTTTTTTATGATGGAGCTAGAAAACTCTAGAAGTCAAGATACAATTGCTTTTTCTTTTGTTAACATTTTAGTTACAATGCAATCCTGATTATTGAAGAGGTATGGAAATCTTAAGATCAGAAAGAATCATCAGATAACCTATCACAAGATAGACTCATAGTGCAAATCACCATAGAATCATAGAATCACCAAGGTTGGAAAAGACCTCTAAGACCATCTAGTCCACCTGCCACCAATATCGTCCTGACCTGCTGTTTGATTTCATAACCCTTGTTACTGTTAAGCCCATAGAGTTCAGTTTAATTAGTATGTACCTTCCAGACAGCACCTGAATTTCATTAAAAATGAAAAATCTGTTTCTCAGAGCAATTTGTTCCAGTAGCTAGTAAGGTGCATTTATGGAATGGATGAAGGGGAAAAAAAACCTCTCATTTTTAATCAGAATGTATTTAGCTTAAGTTCTTCTTTCAAGCCTTCATTCTTGTTGAAGTTCTTCAGTACCTACAATTTTCTCAGTACTAACACAACGTAAGCAATCTCAGTGTCACTGAAATACTCAGTTCATTAGGACATGTTATTTCCTCAGCATTTAATCACTCTTGCAGCTCTTATCTGTGCAATTGTGAATTTCAACCTGATTCAGGGACATTTAAACAGCAGATGTGATCACATCCAGAACAGAAATGAAAGCAGCTGCCAACCTTTTCACAGAATCACAGAATGGCCCGGGTTGGAAGAGACCTCAAGATCACGAAGCTCCAACCCCCTGCTACACACAGGGCCACCAACCTCCCCATTTCACAGCATCCCAGGCTGCCCAGGGCCCCATCCAACCCGGCCTTGAACACCTCCAGGGATGGACGGGGCATCACAGCCCCTCTGCGCAGCTGTTCCAGCACCTCACCACTACCATAGCAAAGAACATTTGAGAGGAGTCTTTCCCTTTCCACGTTGCATTTGCTTTTTCACATCTGTGCACAATGACATACACCTACAGCAACGAGGAAATGCACTGTACAGCTTCCACAGCAATAAGACAGAGAAAACGCCTGAAATCCTGCCCACAGCTGAGGTGCTGCTGATAACAGTGTAGTTAGGAAGAATGCTGGCAAAAATCCTGATTCCTCCTCGTCACTGCAAAGCCCGTTAACCACAATGCAGCCGGCTGGGTGATGCCGGGTGAAACGATCAGCTTACTTCCCCACCTTGAAAGAAATCCCACTTTGAGATCACACATCCCAGGGATTACGCTGGAGATGAATTTAACCCACGAGCGCACTAGACGGCAGCAATTTCACCACACAGCCCCGACCCCCCACCGCTACTCGCAGGTCAGGGTCCGGATACAGGGTCGGCCGCCCTACGGCACAGCGCTTCCGCTCGGCGCATGCGCAGCAGCTCGCCCGAAGCCGTGGAGCGGGCCGCCTTCTTCCCGGCGGAGGGAACGCGGTGCGCGTGCGCCGGGCCGGCTGCCCGCCCGGTTCCGGCGGGGCGGAGCGGCGCGAGGCCGGGTCAGGCCAAACCAAGCCAAGCGGCGGCGGTACGCCATGCACGGCTGGTAGAGCGCGGGTGTAGCGGCGTTGTGCTGCCATGAATCTGCGGGGCCTGTTCCAGGACTTCAACCCCAGGTGAGGGCGGCCCGCTCCGGCACTGGTGGCCGCGGGAGGGCGGGGGGAGTCCGTGCGGTGCGGGGCTGCGTGCGGTGCGCCGTCCGGGCACGGGGATCGCGGGCGGCGTTCCTTTGTTTTGGTCCTTTGAATGCGGGGCTTCCGCTGCCTTGCCGAGCAGGCTGGGAAGATGAACTCGGTCTCAGTGACGCTAACGTTACGAAGGATTGGCAAACGAGGAAGCCCTTAAGGTGTGCGCGGGGCGGCAGGCTGGCCGCGTTCCGGGCTCGCGGAGCGGTGCCGAAGGGCGGTGCTCGGTCAGCTCCGTGCACCAGAGGAAGAGCGACGGACGTTTCAGGAAATGCGTTGTTGCGGCGATGTTCGACACCCACTCGAAAGTAGTGGAAAAGCAGGGAAATGCGTTCCGGAACTGTATGGGGTTTTGTTGTTGCCGAGTGCTGCTCGTTGTCTTTAAGGGACATCTGAGATCCTTGATCTGAGTAGAAGCAAGGCAGCCTGACTTGCTGCGTTCTCGATGGCTGTGTGATGAGGGTGAAAGCAGGCGGTGCGAGTTACGGCGCTGGGATGAAGGCAGTGCTCCTGCTGGGCTGTTCTGCTCCTCAGTGAGTGCCGTGCTGTGTTATCCGCGCTTTGGGATACACGTAATTACTGGCGCGTTGCTGCAGCGCGATGATGCGCTTTATGGAGCAGATCCTCTGGTGAATGGCAGCGTGAGCGTGGGTGACTTTTTTTTCCTTCCTGCGGTGTGAGCAGGTTGTGTCCTGCGCAGTTGTTCGTGTCATTCCTGCTGCTGCAGAGGGCTCCTGTGCCCCTTCCCTGATATTCTGTGTACACTTACTCCTTAGATTCACTTGCTTATGGAGTGTGTCATTGTAACTATTTTAAACTCACGTGGAGACCCTCAGCATTGCAGTGACAAGGTTGACTTGATAGTCGCTAACTTTGTTAAAAGCTTAACCTGTGTTTTTGTTTGTTTGTTTGTTTTTGTATAACGTTGCTTTCAATTAACAGACTGTAAAAGCAATCTGTGGAGCCTGCTGCATCGCAGCATGTAACAATCTTTTGTCTTTAATCATTCTTCAGAACAAAATTACATTGTTTTTGTAGCTTTGTCCACCCTATTTTTAACTTATATTATTTGATTTCTATGAAAGACTGCATTTCCCCACAACACATACAGCTGGCATGTTTCTAAGCTTGTAATAGCACAGCTCTGGACTGGATCCTTGTGGGAGGGAGCTATTTATAGAAGTCCATTCGTTATGTTTGTCATGAAGGAATGCTTTAGATGTGTTCCCTTGAAGCAGGGATTTTATATGTGAAAGATTACATGTTATGTTTGTGGTAGAATCTTTGACTCTTCAGACCTGATATGATTCCTTGCGAAGGACTTTGAAAGATGTTTCCTGATAGGAATTGTCCTGTTCAGTGTTAGCTACGACCCATTTACTTCTTCTTTAACAAATTGAGTTGCCTGCCTAAATTTCTTTTTGCTTGTTTTCTAGCAAATTTCTCATTTACGCCTGCCTGCTGCTTTTCTCTGTGTTGCTATCCCTACGTCTGGATGACAAAATTCAGTGGAGTTACTGGGCTGTGTTTGCACCAATATGGCTGTGGAAGCTGATGGTGATTGTTGGCGCCTCAGTGGGAACGGGAGTGTGGGCCCGAAACCCGCAGTATCGGTAAGTTGTGGCTGTTTGACTTGCAGAACAGAGGGAACGTAGGCCATATTGCTACTGAAATAAACCCCAAAATAGGTTTTTAAAAACTGTGAGACATAACAACATCCAGAAGGTTTGTTTTTAATGTGCAGCTTGTGATAATCATTTAAAGTAAGTGCGGACAGTGTTTGATGGCTATGGATGTCTTCATCGGAGCTGCAACAGCTTCTCACAAGTTTTGAGAATATTGTCTTTGGGAGGTTAAAACCTGCCATGGGGAACTCATCTTTCTGTTTGAACGTTGAGAATTCTTCTCTTTAATGTGATCTGTATAAAAATGTGTCTTTATAGTACTAGAGATCTGCTATACTTAATTGGATTCTTTTCTTAAATCAGCTTCTTAAATATACAGATCATTTTGAAGAATGGAGGATTTTTCTTCACTTTGATATGTAACCTCAGTGTACAGATGAATGAGTATTTAGTTATTCTTGAACATGCAGTGCAGATGGATAATTCTCTTTAGGCTAGAATTACATTTTGATAAGAAATAACCACATAGTAACAACTAATGTACACAGACATGTAATAACCACTGATATACGCAGACATGTAACATTTCCAAAGTGAGGTACTATTATGAATTCCTGTTTGTTCTTTGCCAAAGGTGCGTAACTGTGATATTTTAGTTATCAGTGTAAGCTAAAATAGCTTTAAGTCTTTTAAATGCACATGTGCTGACTTTTCTGACAATCTCAATGGGATGTGAACTTGAACGTGCTAAAGAAAGGAAACTACCTTAAATCAAATGTTATGAATTCATACCACTTTTCTTTCTATGATGGATATAAAATGGAAAGTCTTATGCACAGATCTTGTTCTGATGCATTCTGTTGTGTGGTTCAAGACTGTCTGATTTGCCTTTGTATAGGAAAAAAGCACAGTTTCTCTGTCTGTGCTGATATTATAGACACTTTTTAAAAAATAAAAAATATGTAATATTCTGCTGGAATATGCAGATTTAGGGGACTAAAGACATTTTGTGGGGAAAGGTGTAGAGTCAATGAGAGCTGGGGCGGGAGCCAAGCAGGTAATTTTAGACTTGGTTATCACGCACGTTGCTAGGAAATAACTTGAGTGTTTAGTTTGTAACACAGAAATCCTGCTTTTTATCTGCATAGGTATTGAATCCTTAGAGAGTTTTCAAATTGTGAAAATTCCATTTGCTCTTTTGTCTGAATGGAAATAACCTAATTGTACAGCTTTATGGGGAGGAAGTCCTGTTTCTTCATCAGCGCTGTATTTTAACAGCGGTAACTGGGAGTAAGACATACATTTATTTAAACAACGGAGTTGCCATCTCAAAACTAATCCCTGTAAGCAAAATGTTTTGGGCTGTTTGCAGAGCAGCGTGCTTTCTCTTTGGCAAGTGAACTGAATACCTTCTTTACCTCTTTTTAGAGCAGAAGGAGAAACGTGTGTGGAGTTCAAAGCGATGTTAATTGCAGTGGGCATCCACCTGCTGCTGCTGATGTTCGAAGTCCTGGTGTGTGACAGAATCGAAAGAGGAACTCATTTTTGGCTTCTGGTCTTCATGCCATTGTTCTTTGTATCTCCTGTGTCAGTTGCAGCCTGCGTATGGGGATTCCGACATGACAGGTCCTTGGAGGTAATTGTTGTGATGTATAAAAACTAGGACAGTGCAAGACAGAGTTTCTTAAGAGTTCCTCTTACAAAAACGTAGCATACGTGGCTGCCTTACTTTGTTTGTCCTGACCTACTAAAATGAAAAGTTAGGATTGGGAATAATACTTTGAATCATCTCTTCCATTTATTATCTCTTTTCAACTACCAAATAGCAGTACGTCTTAAACCTGTCTGTTTATTATTATATGCTATAAAAACGTGCCACAAGCTCTGACTATAAAATAATAGAAACTTGGAAACTGAAATTACTAAAAAGTACCTTCCATGTTAGGCAGCAGTACCCCTGGACTTCCTGAGCCCTGGATAATCAGAGTTGAAAGTTTCTTACCTTCTTAATCAGTGTGATTAATTTGGGAATGCAGGCAGCAGGTGTAAAATGATAATTCCATGTTTTCTGCCTCTAGCTCCTTTCCTCTCTAACTAGATTCAGGAAATGCTCCTTAAACCCAAAAGAGACTTTTCAAGAACTTCCCATGGTTATGGCAATTGTAGTAGCGTATACGAACATCATTCTGAGCTCAGAAAAAGCTTGTTTTTGTATGTGATATTCATTAGTTATTCTTTTCCCTGTTTGCATTCTTCTAGTTGGTTGGTCTTATGCTGAAGTGTGAGTTGTTTGTGTGCGTGTTTTTTACTTGTTTATACTTTTCAGAAGGTTAATGTTAGAAAATTACTTTAAATCCAGTTTTTTTTAGCTTTGTTAAAGCAACGCCTACTTAAACAGTGCAGACTTCTGAAGTATGGAAGTGCTTGACACCTCTTAGAATGTAGTTTTTCCCTCCCAATGTTATGAATTCCAAAGGCATTTATGCAAGAGAACACAGTGTGCGTGTATGTTACTGAGAAGTAGAGCACGTTGTCTGCCTCTGAGAAATACTTAATTTCAAAGGTGGCTTATGTATTCACATGTTAAGTAAAATAGAAAATGTTCTAAGCTTAACTACAGATATTCTTGAGGTTTTTTTCAGTTAATGTTTCTGTTTGATCTTTGAAATTCCTACCCGCCTAGGATTGGCCCATAAACTTCAGGATTAGCACCTTGCTGAGTCCAGTGTTTGTTATGTTTGCCCACAATATCAGAGACAGATGTGGGAAGGTTCAACCTCTACTGTCGCAGCACCAACCAGTGTTCTGTTCCCCTTCATTGCTGTGTGATGGATGGTAGCAGAAGAGCAGTGTTAGAAAATGCCATCTGACATGGAAATGTGTATGAAGCAGAGGGGCAGGATTGAATTCCTCCATGTGGGGAAAAAATGGCACCCATTGACATTCACTGGCACTTTCTGAACACGTATGGAGACCAAACAATGGATGTGAGCGCAGTGGTGCATCTCAGCAGTGGCAGCAGTGACCTGAAAGTCACTGAA